GCGTTAGTATTTACCCACCATTAAACTCTTTGATTAGAACCTGGCTGAATCAGCAAATAAAAGAGAAGGGCCAAAACCGCACAAGGACATGGTTTGTGTCAACGGTAATATGAAGCTGTGTTGTCAGTACTTGTTATTCCAAACTCTGGATGTTGAGGTGTGGTACTTATTTCCCCAGCATTCAAGAATCAAGTTTCTAAACTCATTTGCAAAATGACTGGCCTTCAGGACGAATTGAGTGGAGCAACTTGAGCAAATAATGCGATTTTTACAGAAACGGAGAGAGTCAGAATATGTGTCTTCCAGAACTTACAGACAAAAGTCTCCACGTGTGTGCATAAATCACCGCACTTTGGGCATCGCAGCTGGCTTCCACCTTTGCCAGAGCTTCCGGAACTTGACTTTTTACCACCGCCTTCCCCAGCAGTTTTCTAATTAAAAGGAAAAAAAGAAAGAAAGAAACAGGATCTTGACAATCAGATAATAGATTTATAATTAGCTACCAGGTAGCCTTCGACTGATGACCTCAATTGAGCCCAAAATATCTGTTGCTGAGACAGTTAAGTGAGCTTTGCCCTATTTTACAACCTTACTTGCCACAGTTGTTAAGTGAATCAGTGCAGTTGTTCAGTAACACGGGTGTAAAGAGAATCTGAGTTCCCCCCCCCTTGACTTTGCTCATCAGAAGGTCACCAAAGGGGGGGATCACATGACCCCGGGACACATAAGCATCATAAATATGAACCAGTTGCCAAGCATCCAAATTTTGATCCCATGGCCATGGGGATGCTATAGCGGTCACAAGTGTGAAAAACGGTCATAAGTCCCTTTTTTCAGTGCCGCTGCAACTTCGGTCACTAAATGAGTGGTGATCAGTCGTGGACTACCCGTACATCTTTTAAAGGAGCAAATCAATCAGCAGCCACCCTCCCCTCCACACAGAACTGGGGTCCCCACTTGTAACCTTGCCCTCCATTTCTCTCCCAAACTGTGTTGTTGCGTTGTTTAAAATCCAAACACCACAACCAAATGTTCTTCAGTGAAGATACCTCTGCATGTGACTGAAACTGGCATCCTCAGTGAACATTTGTTGTCATTCACTTGAAGATGTTTCGGATTCAAATGGATCAAGGGAAAAAAAAGTTGCTACGCCTGCCAAAAATTCAAGTTCTGTAAACATAAGCAACTTCAAATTGCAGGATATATATATATATATATATTTAGCAATAAACCTTTGTTTATAAACCTTCAGTTTCCTTTCCCCACTGTTAAAGCTACTCATTTACTTCCTCCAGTCAGTCCCCAGGCTGTCAAAAAGAGGGCACCGGACAACACTTCTCCATTTTCTTTTTCAGTACACAGCAAAGGGAAGCGGGGCCAGGAAACTCTTGTCGTTGGCAGAAAGCTCAAGTGAAGGGTGCCAGCTGTAGCAGATGCTGGATGTTGTTGCTTCTTCTGCAGGCCAGCCATATTTGCAAGCCAAAGATAATCTCCATGCAGAATATATCAAGCATTTAATCCGAAAACTACCTACGCTGAATTTTAAAAGGCACCGATTTCTAAACACAAACATGTATTGCTCAGCTTAACCATTACATCCAATACTTCAACATAATTTATGCTCCAAATCATGATCTGTACTTCTAAAAATTGCAGACAGCACGTTTGGGTTTAAAGTAATTTGTCTGTGTTTAGTTTCTCATTTACTTAGCTTTATAAGATCAAAAGTCCTCTGACAGCATGAACACGTTGCTTAAATTCAGAAAACTGCATTCCAAGTCACAGGGTTTTTTGTTTTTTGTTTTATCAGTGACTTAGTTTATGGCCTCTGACCTGGTCCCTGTCTCTATCTCTCTGTACTGAATTAGATGGTTGATGACATGATTCAAGATGTCACTCAATACATGTACATTTTTTACCTTTAAAGGTAATCCTCGACTTAAGACTGGTCATTTAGCAACCATTCAAAATTACAACAGACCCCTCCACCCAAAAAGGTGGATTCAAAGTTCCGACAGCTGTAAACCTGGCTCAGTCATGTGATGACCCACTTCACAACTGGCATGACATATGACAATAATTCCAGACTCAATTGTGGTCATAAGTTGAGGACTACCTGTGGTATGTGGGATAGAGGTATGGTTTTTGAAGCACAAAAGGTGTGTACCTTACTGCCGTCTCCCGAACCATCTTTACTTGCACCATCTTTAGAAGCAAAGTATGCTGGTGTTTCAGCAAAAGTTCTAAAAGGAATAGTTCTTAGAGACGGAGTTTCACAAGTCCCAATTATTCCTAAAGCAGGGAAGCAGGAACGGCCACATGAAATTCCTGAAAAAGGAAAAAAAGAAACAAAAGATTTTTGATTATTCTGTGTACCTTTTCAGTAACTTATCCCCCACTTCGTTGAGTCTACTTGTTGAACCCAAGAGGTCATGAAATCTCATTCCCTTAAGAGACTTTCTCAACAGTGGCAAATTTAGACACATGGACTTCAACTCCCAGAATTCCCCAGCCAACCCCTCTTGGATCATGAGTAAAAGAGCTGAAATCCAATCTTTTTAAATGTGCCAAGGTTGGAAAACCTTGCATTAAGATGTACAATCAAATTCCATAAGCAAGTCCTTCTCTTCTACGGCAAATAGTTTCCTCTCTAATATGAATATTCTTTTTAGGACTAGAGTGCAACTATGCTCCAAATGCAGACCACTTTATACAACACATAATGGGGGATACTTTCACAAAGTAATTTCTGCTGAGGAATGGCATCCCGAAGGTGCTTTTTCAAAAGGCAACTGGACTTTGTTTTTTTGTTTTTGGAAAAACAAAGTCCAGTTGCCTTTTGAAAAAGCACCTTTGGGACCACCCTGAGCAGGAGGGCTGAGAATCTCCATAGACATGAGGAATAGCATCTGTTATAGATTAAGCCCCAAGGATTATTTCCCTGTAAAAGATATTTTCTTCTTCTTTTATTTTGGAAAATTTTAAGATGACCAACAGTCCCAAAGCAAACAAGAACAACAGCATAAATACTTAAAAAAAGAAGAAGAAATTGCCAGGGAGTATACCCTTGACCTTTCTAAAAGGACAACAGTGAAACATCAAGGATGTTGAAAATCTTTTGCCTAGCAGAATTTAGACAGCATTCCAAAATTTATTTACCACAAATTACTGCTTGTTAACTGGAACTGTATAACATTAGCATTCAAATTATTTGAGTTACAGCGTAACTCAGAATCACACAATGGCTGTCTTCGCAGAATAATAATTTAAATTTGTGTTTTCTTCATGAATGCTGGTCTGTTTATGTCTTTTGACTCTGATGAACTCAAATCATGAGTCTGGCTTGTTCTCCTTTGCATAAATTAATTTCAGAAGCCTGTCTGTCTATGTGAAAGTACCTATTAATTCAGATTATGGCTAGTGCCAAACTACAGAATGTCATTATACAACATTCTTCCTTTGCAAGTTCAGATTTAATTTGCTGCTTTGGCTCTTACAAATTAAGCTTTGCAGAGACATCTGTATAAGAACAGATTGGGCCTGTTTTCTATACTTAACAACCAGTTCTGAATTTTAGAGTACTGTACTGGTACATATCCAATTATGCTTTGAATATAAAGGCAAAGTAGTATAACTGAACTGGTCCAATATCTGCAATTCTCAAAAAGAGATTACTGAAGACATTTCAACTTCTATTTTTCAAAAACTTTCACCTTTCCATTTTAGCAGAAAACATCACTGCTAAATTTGCAACTACTTATTTACATTTGTACTGTTCTAATAATAATACCTGAGGTATATTTGAATATTTCAAGTGTATCATTATGATACGCCTAATACTGGTGTATAATTAAAAGATCAGATAATGACATGCTCAAACTAAGAAAGGTTAATTCAAGGCCCTGTGGAATGTGGTAGAAAAAGACAGAGAGGGAACTTGAGAACAATGCTTTTAAGTACATGAAGGCAGAATAAAAGATTGAGATATAGTGATAGAAAGCAATATTTATTTTCAGCTTTGGTGTTAAATAATCAGGACAATAATTCAAGACAATAAGTTGCTTCTCTGTAACAGAGCAATTACCAATGATGGATGTTAGAATGTTCATTGTGCTGGTGTGTTTTGGTAGGAACTAATCAAAAACACTTAAAAACAAATACTGTACTCATGTTATTTTTTTGCACACATACAGTAAGCCACTGTGGCTTTTTCAGACAGAAAAAAACAATGGCCGTGTAAAATGTGTGAACCAGTCAATATGTTGGTTGACTGTGCAAATAACATGAAAGTAGAAATACACAGTTGACAGATATGGTAACTCAACCATACAGAAGCAGAATATTTATTCGTGTTTTTTTTTTTTAAAAAATAGAGATATCACAGGCCAAACAAAATACGTTCATCTCACCCAGATCACAGCAGTGTTCAAGCAATGCTTGTCAAACAATGCCTCAACACTAAATCCTAGAAAAATCTTTCATCAGCACAACAGAGCAAAGAGCTTACACAACAGTTCATGAGCTCAGGATACTGATTGGGCCTTATTTTGCAGTGAGCATGAACCCTGATCAATCTGAAGCAACATTACAAAGTTCTCTTCTCCACACATGATATTCTGGCAAGACTATTTAAGACATAAACATTGTTAAGGGTAAATTGGTATATACTTATCCAAGATTAAGTCTAATGGAAACATCAATGGGACTTACTTCTGGGAAGATATGCATAGATCTGTCCTGTCAGAATAAAGTTGAGAAGAGAAAATATACAAATAAACAAGCAGAATGATATTTATGGTATCAGTTCTTTAAAAAAAACCACCTCTACGAGGATCTGAAGCAAGTAAAACTTTGCTCGGCTGATGAGTGACCTTCCTTTTAATATTGTTTGCTCATTAATCCAAATTTGAAATATCTGAAATTGCCAATCAGGTAATTTATATAGCTTTATGTGTTAAAAGCCACTAAAGAATCTTATCATAGATTTAACAGCCTTCCAGGGTCCAATTATCAGTTTTATGATAACAAAAAGGACAACAGCTGCACGTAAGCAAACAAGATCTTAACAAAACTCAGCAATGATCTAACAAAACAGAATATTGTAAACAAAAACAAAGTCACCGGAAAAAAGGGCTTCTCAGAAACCAGACTGTGCAAATCTAGGCATGTCTATGGAATTGCAAGTTCTCACTGGGTTTAAGAGGGGCTCAAGAAAACTCAAACCTAAATATAGTCAGTCCTTGACTTATGACAACCGGGACCAGGATTCCTGTGGCTAAGTGATGTTATTCCTTCAGTCATGTCAGACCCTTGGCAATTGTACGAACTAGGTCTCCCCACATCATTGCTAAGTAAGGAAGTTGTTAAGTGAGTTATGCCTAATTTTTCAGCCTTTTTTTGCCAAGGCTGTTAAGTGAATCACTGCAACAAAGTGAATCGTGTGGTTGTTAAACGAATCCAGCTTTCCCCCATTGAGTTTCCTGGCTGGCTGGGAAACTTGCAAACGGCAATCACACGATCCATCATAAATACACGCCAGTTGCCAATTGCCCCAATTTTGATCACATTACTGTGGGGATGCTTTAGTGGTTGTTAAGTGGAAGGACCAGTCATAAATCCAGGTCTGCAGGGCTGTTGTCACTTCCAACTGTCGCTAAATAAATGGTTGCAAATCGAGGATGACCTATGTATATATATCATAATGGAACTCCACTTGCCTGGATCCTGGGTGGGGAAAGGCTAAGACAATGCAATATTATCCTGGCACAAGTATACAGGCACTCCTCAACTTACAACAGTTCGCTTAGCGACCGTTCGTAGTTGCGACAGCATTGACAAAAGTAACTTGTAACCAATTTTTCACACTTATGCCCGTTGCAGCCTCCCCAGGCTGATTCACATTCAGCTGCTTGACAACTGACTCACATTTACGATAGTTGCGGCATCCTGGGGTCACACAACCCCCTTTTGCGACCTACTGACCAGCAAAAGTCAACGGGGGAAACCGGATTCACTTAACAACGGCGCTACCAGCTTACGAACCGCAGTGACCCAACTTAACAACGGTGGCAAAAGAAAAGTCATAAAACGGGGCCATGCTCAGCTTAATGCATTTCTCACTTAGCGACATCAGTTTTGGATTCCCACGGAGGCCGTAAGCGGAGGACTTGCTATCCGGGCGAGATGCTCCCGCTGGAGCACTCATCATCCCAGGGCAGGCACCCCCACACCCCCCACCTGAAACGGGGGTCACCTTCCTCAGGCAGACCCCACTTTTCAAGTTGGTTTGTTTTCATTTCATTTCCTTTCCTTTCCCTGGCCGGCCTCCCACGTCTGGCAAAGGAGGAGGCCAAACCAGCGCCAGAAAAGCAAACAAAATGCTTGCCAGGCAGGGAAGCAGACGGCCCAGACCTCCGCTCCGAGGGGGATTTGCACGCGCAAAGGTGGGCGTGCAAGGCACACCTGTCCCCCCCATCCTCCCCCCAGGTGCTTCTTCTAATCTGACGGCTGCAGGGCCTTCCTGGGAGGGGGGGGAGGTTTGAAACCCACCCCGAAGCGAGCCCCCTCCTGCCACTCCCTCCCCCCCTCAAGAAAAGGGGCCAGCTTAGGGCCCCCTTCCGAGGTCGGGGCCTCTCCAGGGGCGCGGCTGCGGCTGATGGGTGTTGTAGTCCCCCCGCCTCAGAGAGAGTGAAAGAGGCGGGGTCGGGCCTGCTGAGGGAGGGGAGGGAAGGGGGGGGGACACGGCGACTGAGGGGGAGGGCCCGCCGGGAGGTTACCTCGGCAGGCGGACGGCAGCGAGGAGCTGACGAGTCGCGCGGCGGCGGCGGCGCAGGTGCTGCAACCGGCCATGTCCGCGCTCCGCTCCGCTTCCCTCCGGCCGGAAGAGAGAGAGAGAGAGAGCGAGCGAGCGAGGAAGAGACAGTTCCGCCGCTCGGCCTACCCGCCGACGATGCCGCCTCGCCAGCGCTCGACGGCTTGTGTGGCGTCACGGGCCTTCGCCCCTCAGACCGCCGGAAGAAGGCGGCGAACTACGCCTCCCGGCAGGCACCGCGCGCGCCTTTCCGAGCGACCGAGCGGAGGGGGAGCGCGCGCCGCCTGCTGGGAGCGCTCTTTCGGATCGCGCGCGGGGGGGGGGAAGGAAATCTCGCGAGAGGAGAAGAAGGGAAGAGAGAGAGAGAGAGAGAGAGAGAGAGAGAGGAAATAGGAAGTGGGTGGCTGGGATTTGCTAGTCTTCGAACTTGGCCCTTTGATGACTTGTGGACTTCAACTCCCAGAATTCCTCAGCCAGCGTGCCTGGCTGAGGAATTCTGAGAGGGGTCTTCAAACTTGGCCCTTTGATGACTTGTGGACTTCAACTCCTAGAATTCCTTAGCCAGGCACCCTGGCTGAGGAATTCTGGGAGTTGAAGTCCACAAGTCATCAAAGGGCCAAGTTTGAAGAGCCCTGCCCTAGTGGCCCTTCCATTCCCCACCATCCATTCAGAACTGAAGAAGCCTCTTGGATGGGGAGCAAGACGTCTTCAAAGAGAAACAAGAAAGTCCAGTTGGCCTCGTGAAAAAGCACCTTTGGGATTTTATCCATTTAGTTGCCAGGTTCAAGCCAGCTGAGCTTCCAATCCCAAATGATGATTAAAGGCCTGGAGACGAAAACATACGAAGAATAGATGCAGGATTTGGGAATGGCCAGTGGTTGTATTTCAAAAAGTAGGGGATGGTCTGGTTCAAACAATATGCAAAGTTTGTGGCTCCTTCCCCACAAAGCGCTAAACCACCAATTGACCAAACTATTTTAGCTTTGTTAAATTGTGTAATCCAGGCTATATTCTGCAGCAATTCTCCTTCTCCAGCCTGGAATCTTCAATGCATGTTGTAATTAATATTGTTCACATTTGATATCAATCCCTTCATTATTGTAAAGAGAATGTATGTTCTTGCATTATTGTAATAATACCTATCTGATGTTTGTTTGAGGCTTCCAGTCGGAATTGCCAATATACTAAACCTTGGTCTATTGATTTCTTGCTGATTGTGCTGACAGCTAGAAGCTCTTTAGAATTTCAGTCAGACACTCGGATCTTTCTCTTTTGGCAACTGACTCATCTGATAATTTCTACTTAAAATTACTGAATTTACCTTAAGTTATTGCCTTTCCTCTACTAAAAAGGCAGGAGAAAGTGTCCTGTAGAATGACATCTGCATCACTATTTTAAGTATAATGGAGGTTATTCTCCTTTATTCCTAAGTGGAATTCAAATAGGATAGAATTAATTTATTTCTGACATGTATAAAAAGCAGTTTATATCTCTGTCAATAAGTACTAACCTTCACCTCTGGGTGGCAGGCAACGTCCAGGTTTCAGGGGAAAAAACAATGAAATATATTGGGAGAACAAATTTCAATCCACAGTGAATTTCAGCATGGTACATTCTGTAAAATCCCAGCAGTAAAACCAACAGGTTTCTTTGGTAAGAGAGCGGTTTTGAAACAAGTAGCTTAAAAAGCACACCTGTATTTTTTATAAGTAATTTTATTAGAGGTTACCATTTACTACAGTACAAATTAATGCAAACTAAAAAAAGGATTAAAAAAAACAATAGAATGTGGATAAAAAAATAGAAAAGAAAAAGTAAAAAGAGAAATGCATAAAGAAGCGACATCCCACCATCATCACAAGAAGTATAAACAATTTTAGTAACTTATTACCACCTCTTAAAATACAACAAGTGATCCCTTCTTCCTTATCTCTTATCTCTAAGCAAATCCTTAAAGCCTCCTTGTTCAGTCCTAATGTCAGCAAACATACACCCTTTAGCACTGGGCTGAAATTTCTTCTTCTTGTGCCATATCCGTTATCGGACCTTGGCGATCATGTTGGCGATCCTGTTTTATCAGCAGCCGCACAAAAAAGTGCTGCTGAGTTTTGTCCAAACCAGTCCCTTAGATTTTGAAGCCACGATCTTCTTCTTCTGCCTGGACCTCGTTTGCCTTCAATCTTTCCCTGGAGGGTTAAATGGAGTAGGCCGTATTTTTCTGGGTGTCGCATCAAATGTCCGAAATATTCTAATTTTCGTTTTTTAATTGTTTTGATGATTTCCCTTGGCTTTCCCAGGTGGCTTATCACCTCATTTCTGATCTTGTCAACCCAGCTTCTACGTAACAGCCGCCTGTAAATCCACATTTCAAATGCTTCTAGTCTCTTCAGGTGGCCTTCTGTCAGAGACCAACTCTCTACTCCATGGAGCAGGATAGAAAAAATACAGCATCTGACACGCCTGATTTTCAGTCTTAGGCTTATGTCGTGACTGCAGATAGGGCTTTTTCTATCCTTGTCTTTACTTCAACGGTCATGTCCCAGCTTTCGTATAAATTAGAACCGAGGTGCATGATCCTTTCAACTTTTTCTAGTGGTATTCCTTCTGAATTTATTGGTGGCAAATTAACGGGTTGTTTACTGACGACCAGGATCTTGGTTCCTAGCAAGGGTCATTCCCACTCTAGTTATCTTCGGATGCAAAAGACTGCAATTAATTCCCACAATTCCATGCTTTCTGGGGATTCTGGGAGTTGTAGTTCAACATCTACTGAGAGGCCTGTTTCAATGTTTGAGAGCTATAAACCTCTGGATGGGATACTGAACTTAACAGACAATAGATAATACAGGCAGGATTGTGCAAAACGAATAAGAAATGTAAGACCTCCCCGTAGGAAGGGGGCAACAGACAAATCTATCCCTAGCCTAGGCGGTGGGAAATACCGTACTTCCGCGTTAAAGGGACAGACACGCGCCTGCGCACATCTCCGCTCCGTCACGTGCTCTCGCGTACCTTTCCCTTCTTCCGCCTCGATGGTCGGCCGAGCTCGCTCAGCTCATCCGCTTCCACTGGGAAGCCCGTCCCCTTTTCGGCGTGACGTCAGAGATCGGCGTGCCGCCGGGCTCCCCGCCCACTGGGGAGGCGGGGCTGTTTAGCGTCGGGCTGCTTTAGGGCTCGCCGAGCGGTCGGGAGGAAGGTACCATTTTGATGGCCGGAGGGGGGCCACCGTAGTCCTCCCTGGCGTCCGCAGGGCTGACGCACGCCTGGTGAGCACGGGGCTTTGCATGTTGCTTTCCCGCATTGAGGAAAGGCTTGGGCGCTGCTCGTAGCGGACCGTGGCGGGACCCTAAGAGATACATGGGGGCTCGGGGGTAAAAGAAAGGGCTGAGGGTGGGGTGGGATGCCCTATTGTCCCCCAGGCTTCCTGTGTGAAGTGGGGCAGTTAAACGAGTGGGCGCGGGCTGGGGTGGGGTGGGGTGGGGTGGGGGGGGCACCTGACCCGGGGAAGAAGGAATGGTGGGAATGGGGTGGAGAACTTCCCCCAGCCTCGTTAGGAAGACATGCTGGGCCACCTGCTCCCAGCCTGGTCTACCTTGCAGGACTGTTGTAAAGATCACAGGAATTGCTCTACCAAGGGGAAAAGTGGGAGTCTCCCTGGTCAGCTAAAATCTCTGCCAGGGCTGCTGGTGTGAAAGTTGGGCAATTGTGTAATTGGAGGGGAGACCCTGGGTGGGAGGAGATGGGAGTGGAAGGGGGCTCTGCCCTCCAAGGAGGAAAGGGCTGGAAGGCGAGGAGGGAGCAGGAAGATGGGTGTCTAACCTTGCTTACTTACGTCCCCTTTTTCAGCATTTTATTTCTGCTTTTGTTTCCTTCCCACTCCAACCCAGCACAATCCACTTTAACAAAAAAAGCTAGTTTGCCAAGCAAAATGGGGCTTCAGTCTCAATTAAGGCTGTATTGATCTGGTGAATGTTTCATGCAGGCCATGATTACTGAGCAGACCTGTTGCAAAGAGCACCCCCCCCCCCCGATTCAGGATAAAGGAATGCCGTTTGGGTTGGATGTTGCGAAAGGCTTCCTCACACCAGAGCTGTTTGGAGGGTGGAAACCCAAGAGAAGGGGTGTTTGTTTGTTTTTTTGTATTCTTTTATAGTTCTCGTGTTGTTTTGCTGGGAGTTGCGTGGTGCTACAAATTGAATAACTTCCACAAACAAATAATAGAGAGTATCACTTTTCTGCAGGTGTTCAGGCAGAGATTGCAAAGAGATTAGTTAAAGATCCTTTTGCTTGGAGTCCTGCACGGAGCAGGGTTTGGATTTAGGGGCCATAAAGGTTTATTTCCAACTCCATCATTCCAAATGATAAATACAGTTTATTGTTTTTTAAGAGCTGTCAGTTTCATTACGGTTTGTTTAAAATCTTTTCTTATATATATATACTACTAGGAGTTCTTTTTTGGGGGGGTGAAATAGAATGATCGAGAAGTATAATAAATAACACATCTTCAACAATCACAATTGAGCCCAAAATCCGTTGCTAAGTGAAACATTTGTTAAGTGAGTTTTGCTACATTTTATGACTTTTCTTGCCATTGTTGTTAAGTGAATCACTGCAGTTGTTAATTTAGTAACACGGTTGTTAAACGAATCTGGCTTCCCCATGGACTTTGCTTGTCAGAAGGTTGCAAAAGGGGATCACAGGACCCCCAAGGATAGTGCAGCCGTCATAAATATGAGTCAGTTGCCAAGTGCCTGAATTTTGATCACGCGATCATGGGGATGCTGCAGTGGTCATAAGTGTCAAAAACAGTCATAAATCACATTTTTTCAGTGCCATTGTAACTTTAAATGGTTACTAGACAAACTGTTGTAAGTCAAAGACCAACTGTACAATACCACAGGACCACATCTGTTTCTTCACCATGCTTGGGACTTAATCTCAACTATTTTTTCATCGCTTCTTCTGTCATTAAACCTAGTTCTAAGACTTTAGATATGTCAGTTGTTTTGGAGCAGAGGACTGTGTCCACAAGACCTTA